TGGTAGAGCTTGAACTGCCCCCCACGAAGTGGGGGTATTGTCTCGCGTCGCATGAAAACCCTGGCACTGGTGAGAACACTGAGCGTTCGGGTAAAATGATTGTTGTTGTTGTTGTTGTTGTTGTTGTTGTTGTTTCTTTGTTGTTTCTTTGTTGTTTTTGGTCTAGGATGAAAGGAAGCACTGTGCTTGTTTTGGGGGGGAAGCTCGAGTGCTCCCCGCGGCCTCCCCCCAGCATCTTCCCCTTCTCGCCCATCATCATTATCCTCCTTCTCCTTTCCGTTTCCTCCTCTCTGTAGCAACGCAGAACCAATAATACACAGTGCTTGGGGCCCTCGGTGCAAGGAAACGCTGTGTATGCTTGCTTTTGTTCTGGTGTTTTGTCCTAGACTAATAGAAAGCACAGTTTTTTTGGTTGATTTGGTTTTGGAAGCTCGAGTGCTCCCCGCGGCCTCCCCCTAACACCTTCCCCTTCTCGCCCATCATCCTTCTCCTCCTTCTCCTTTCCGTTTCTTCCTCTCTGTAGCAACGCAAAACCAATAATACAGAGTGTTTGGCGCCCTCGGTGCAATGAAACGCTGTGTATTTCTCGTTTTTCTGATTTTTTGGGGTCTAGGATGACAGGAAACACTATTCTTTTATTGTTTTTTTTTGGGGGGGGGGGGAAGCTCGAGTGCTCCCCGCGGCCTCCCCCCCAGCACATACTCCTTCTCCCCCTTCCTCTTTCCCCCTCCTTCTCCTCCTTTCCTTTCCTCCTCCTTGTTGCAAAGCAAGAGAACCAAGAACACACAGTGTTTGGCGCCCTCGGTGCAAGGAACCGCTGTGTATTGCTGGTTGTTCTGGTTGTTTGGTCTACTTTTTTGGGGGGGTGGAGCTCCGGACGAGAAGGAGGAGGTGCTGGGGGGGAGGCCGCGGGGAGCACTCGACCTTTTCAAACCAAACAAAGACAGTGTTTCCTTTCATCCTAGACCCCCAAACATCATTTTAAAAACAAGACATACATAGAGTGTCCTCGCACCGAGGGCGTCAAACACTGTGTGTTCTTGGTTCTCTTGCTTTGCAACGAAGAGGGAGAAATGAAAGGAGGAGAAGGAGGGGAAAGAGGAAGGGGGAGAAGGAGGAGGTGCTGGGGGGGAGGCCGCGGGGAGCAGTCGAGCTTCCCAAATCAAGAAAAAAACAATACAATGTCTCCTTTCATCCGAGGCTAAAACGAAACATCCACAGCGTTTCCTGTAGCCGAAGGCGCAAAACACTTTGTATTCTTGGTTGTGCGTTGCTACAGAGAGGAGGAAACGGACAGGAGGAGCGGGATGAGGAGGAGGAGCTTGGTTTGGAGAAGGAGGAGAGGGGAGGCGGGAGGAGGACGAGGGATGCGGGATGAGGAAGAGAGAAGCAAGAAAGAGAGAGCAGGAGGAAGAGGTGATGAATACGATTCTAGATGTGATGTATGACCTTGGAGGGGGCAACCATACATACACACATACACATATATATACACACCTATGTATATATACATACGTAGAAACATACATATATGCATACAGACAGACAGACATACATACATATACCTACACGACCACCCTTCGGGTGATAAAGGAGGCTCGGGGGGAGAGGATCCAACGTCTCACTCCATCGGTCCCACTATCGATCTCAAAAACGATCTCACGATCATTCTCGCTGGATCGATCTCACTCGGTCGATATCACAATCGATATCACTCGATCTATTTCATTCGATCGATCTCACAATCGATATGACTATCGATCTCACAATCGATCCCAGAATTGATCTTACAATCGATCTAACATGCGGTCTAACTATCGATCCCACTATCGGTATCACAATCGATATCACAATCAACGTCATCAGCATCATCATTAACATCATCGTCATTATTACCATCAGCGTCAGTACCATCATCATCAGCACCATCGGGATACCATCATCATCACCACCTCATCACCATCATCCTCAGCATCACCATCATCATCATCATCAGCAGCAGCATCATCATCATCGGGACACCAGCATCGTCACCATCATCATCAACATCATCATCATCAGGACACCATCACCATCGGAGCACCACCATCACCATCATCATATCATCATCATGATCATGAACAACATCATCAGAATCATCATCGCCGGGACACCATCATCATTAGCAACATCTCCATCATCAAAATCATCATCATCATCGGAACATCATCATCATCGTCAGCAACATCATCATCACCATCATCGTCATCAACATCATCAGGACACTATCATCATCATCAATATCATCATCACCATCATTGGGCCACCACCATCAAAATCATCATCATCACCTCATCATCATCCTCAGCAACATCATCATCATCATCATCATCATCATCGGGACACCATCATCGTCATCATCATCATTACCACCATCATCGGGACACCATCATCATCACCATCATCATCAACAGCATCATCATTAACCGTATCATTATCATCACCATCGGGACACCATCATCATCATCATCTTTGTCACCATCATCCAATCATCTGATCTTAATCAACATCACAGGATCATCAACATCATCACCATCGGGGCACCATCATCATCATCCTCAGCAACACAATCACCATCAACATCATCATCATCACCGGGGCACCATCATCATCACCATCACCATCATCATCATCATCAGCATCGTCAACATCATGATCATCATCATCATCATCGGGACACCATCATCATCACCACCATCACCATCATCAACATCATCATCGTCAACATCATCAACATCATCATCATCATCATCACCATCATCATCATCATTATCATCATCATCATTGGGACACCGACGGGAAAACCGATTTCCCGGTAGGGGGCTCCCCGTTCCACTTCGATCTCACCCCCTCACCTCCGACATATGATTGTCGACACACATATATATATATGGATATACGAGTATCAGGCTAGGCGGGGCAAGGCGAGGCGAGGCTGCGCGAGCTCCTGCCATAGCCCGTAGAAGCCACATCAAACCACAATTTGGCGCCCCGGGTCCGGTCCGCTTCTCCCGTGTGCCCCCCCCCTAGCTTGTGCTGACAGACCAAATCAAAATTGTCGCCCCGATGGTTGTCCCGATGGTTGTCCCGATGGCTGTGTTGCTGGTTGCTCCATCGGAATTCTTGACTGTTGTCCCGATCGCCAGATAGTGATATCGATACATATGCTGATGTGCCACCTATCGATCGGGAGTGAGACGGAAAGAAAAACGAGGCCGATTGATGGATGATACACTGGTCGCGTCATATGTACATGCGTTGTGATACCAATCGGCCGATAGATAAAGCGATCGACCGATATATTGATTATGGTAGCAGTAGATTGACAGTGATACTGGTGTGCACGTATGAAAATATTCATTTCGGAACACATACTCATAAGAGACGGGCCAGGTGAGAGATCGACAGGTAGCTTGTGTAGTGGGGCCAGTAATTCTGATACCGACCTATCTGTACATCGTTATATGAATGCATGTATGTATGTATGTATGTATGTATGTATGTATATATATATATATATATATATATATATCAGAGTGAGGGGGCCGAACGGTCATTCATTGTCCCTGCGTGTGTGACTGAATAGAGAATTCGGGGTGAGAGTTCTGCTTGTTGCGTTGTTGTTGTTGTTGTGGTTGTTGTTTGCTGTCGTCGTCCCACCCGCGACCCATCTGCGACCCACCCCGCGACCCACCCGCGACCCACCCTGCGAGCCACCCGCGACCCACCCGCGACCCACTCGCGACCCACCCCGCGACCCACCGGCGACCCACCCCGCGACCCATCCGCAACGCATCCGCGACCCACCCGCGACCCACCCCGCGACCCACCCCGCGACCCACCCTCAAGGGAGGAAAAAACACCTGGACCCAACAATCAACGTTTACTAAACGGCCCTGGTCGTTGACTAAACAGCCCTGCCCTGTTCGATTCATTCCTTGTGTGCGTTTACTAAACGGCTTCGTTTGTCGGGGTGATTCTTTTGGGGTGGATTTTCT